TGTGTGTGTGCGTGTGCGTGCTATCAGTATTGAAGGTTACAAATCTCTCACCTTTGTGGACAGGATAGGGATGTGGGGGTAAAAAAAAGGCAGCGAGACTGATGGGAAGAAAAGGGCAAGAGATTGAGGGCAAACACAGTGCTGAGAGAGATGTTGAGAGTAATGATGATATGTGAAGGGTTCAGGCTCACAGCAAGCTGGGGATTGCTCGGAGCGTACACCTCGCCGGCTTCACATCACCCAGAGATGTAAAGGAGGGTAATAACACCGACACTGAGCTTATCTGTGTTTTCACGGGAAAGGCCGTGCGTACATTAGGTTTCCAGTTCATCATCCTGGATGCCCTCATCTCGCTGAACACGACATACGAGACAGCTCTGTCCATCACCTACACCTGCTGTGCTTCCAACGAGCTGGCAGGTACAGCACAAACATCACTTGTTGGGGGAAAAAAAATGTAAAAGCTACAAAGTTCCCACGTGAGCCTGAAAGCAAGCGGGATGTCAAAGGCATCAAAAATTCATTTTCAGACAATTAACACAATTTTATACCTGAAAACCCAGCACGTGCAACTTCACTCCAGGCCTCCTGGTGCATTCACCTGTCTCATTTGTCACAATGTAACTGCATTACAGACAGAAAACCACATCCTCTCCTTTAAGAGCGACGCAGCTTTAATGTACACTCAGCCATATGGCAGACTGCTTTTACACCAACACACACTTAAAGCACGATGCCAGTTTATTCTTATTTTTTAATCCACACCTGCGCCGGTGTGGATTAAATCGGGTGCTCTCTCCTATTGATTTTTTTTTAGAAGCGACGTTGAACAGTTCTGGCAGCTTGTAAACACATTAGTTATACCAGGCTGCGTACCGCTCGCAGTGCTTTGCAGATGTACTCCACTCATAATTATTGTACACGAGGCGCAATGTTCCTGGATGCGAAGGAGTGCCAGACTCATCACGAAGAGACGAAAGGATGCGTCCCCGAGGCCGTGGGTAGTTATCTCTCCCTCACTGTACCTGCACGCCGCTGCGAGGCACGTGTAGACAGTAGAGGGATCATAAAAAGCAGGCAGAGCTTGCATTGAGCCTGCCTCACTCTCCTAATTCATTCATACATCCTTAGAGTTTGAAATCTGCTCGGCTTGTGAGGCTTTTTTTTTATGTCGAAGCGGGCCCTAAGATGCACCTGTAGTGCTGCTGCCCCCCCCATAATTATTAACCATCAGAAATTTCTTTTTGACAAATTTTCAAGGAGCCCACGGTTTGTTTGATGTCTGATGGCTGCGCCATCTCTTCACCCACTTCCCCGTTTTTCTCTCCTCTCTTCTCTCCCTTTCCCACTCTTCGCATGATATTTCTGCACTTCTCTGTGTGCCTCCTCTCATCTGCTGCTGAGAGCATCACGACCAAAACATGCTTGAGAGGGGAGGGCAGGGGGGCAGAGAGGATTACCAAAATCTAATTGCCAAAATTAGTAGCTGTATTCAATTTCATTTACCCCCCAAGTACAGAATCATATCGAGTTTAGTTCTTCGTGTTTTTCAATGCAAAATAGTGACGCTTGGACCGAAAACGCATTTGACGAGG